GTTTTATACAACGATCGCCAATTTCAGGCTATCTGCCAGCGTCGGTGATCTTGCCTCCTCGTCGCCTGGAAACACTGGTCAACCAAGCCTTACAGTGGCAGCGATACAAGTGCATTCTCCACAACCTCAAGGAAGAACCCGCCAGCCTTAGCCTAGAAATGTCACTTTTGTCTGACCACTCGTGTAGCAGGTGCGTTCTTTTTTCTCGTCTGTTCCAAAACTCATGCACACCTGTTGGTTGTGATGAGTGACTGTGCTCACCGATCGACGGATATGATGTTGTAGCATTGCAGTGGCGGCAACTGTTTTACTTTTAATTTGTTATATTTTATATTTATACTATGTTAGTTCGTGATGGTATGTCTTACGGTACTGTTTCGTCACAGTAAGCGCCTTGTCCTATCCGTAGCCATTTATTACTTGTCGTAACTCTGCTTATGCTTGCGTTGCTTATGAACACTTTTCCTACCCCATTAGTTTTTTTTTCCAAGTTAAGTTGTTAACTTGGTACGAGCATCATCTGAGTTGGGGACAGCTTCCAAGTTTGTTACTGCCCCACAGGCGATTACTGATTCCTTACCAGTCAAGCCATTTCAGCAATAAAATTAAAATATTAAATTTTTTTACTACCGGATTTACACGGCGTGCAGGCAAAGTCCCCTTGCTTCTAGCGGTCTACGGAACCGTTTAAGCAGATCAAGACTATATGTAATTTTAGTTCCTGTCGTGCATGGATGCAAAACCGCATCACTGGGCATGGCCAAACAAAATCCTGTCCGGACACCTGCCGATATATGCCACTATCAGTAGGCACGTATATGCATAAAAATATTTCTTCTAAGTGCTCAAATACCATGGAGCCGTGGTCTGCTAGAAGCGAAACAACGGAACGGTACTGTACGCCGTGCAAATCCGGTAGTAAAAGAAACAGTTTATTTTTCTTAGCGGCGGTATCGAAAACTAGCAGTGTGTTAGTAGTAAACCAATGAGATCGGTGTTTATTTTTATGTAAAAATTCAAATGTCTAACCGTCATTGCATGTATGCTGCTGTTGAATTTTAACCGTTTTAATTTCGAATAAGGTATGGCCGCTGTGGCGATTTCCATTTTATTTGTTTTTCTTAAATATTTCAGTGGTTTCGCTACTTGTTTTGTTTCTATTAAACTGCAAACTAGACTTAAATAATTATTTAAAATATATAGTTAATTTTAATTGAATCGCGGTATTGGATGAGTCATTCGTTAATTATAATTGATATTGATTTAGGGCTACACTTCCGTGCCACACGTCTTGTATATTAACCGACCACTGTGACGAAGTGTGGTTTTGTAAATTTTCTCATAACGGGCGGTACTTAGCTACTGGATCGAAAGAGAGCACGGTCTATATTTGGGATGTGGACATGTGCGCGAGGAGTCTGCGACGTAAATTCGCTTTTGACGGGCATACGTACGGCGCTTCATACTTTGCCTGGTCGCCGGATGACCGATATCTAGCTGTAGTAGGCCCCGAAGATGGTCCGGATCTGTGGATTTGGAATATCGAGGTAACAACGCCTTTGTATTTGAAA